GTCCAAACCAGACTCATTCAATCTGACTGTGTTTACAAAAAGATTTTATTTTTATTTTCTGACCATGTTACCCAATTCTAGATTAGTCCTGGTTTAGTTCTTGTTTAACCCTGGTTTGGTCCTGGTTTAGTCTTGATGTAGTTCTTGTTTACTCCTGGTTTATCCCTGTTTATTAGTCCTGTGTTAGCCCCAGTTTAGTCCTGGTTTAGTCCTGGTTTAGTCCTGGTTTAGTCCTTAGGCCTTAGGCCTTTTTTCCCTTTAAAACTCAGAATTTTCCCAGACTCAAACTCAAACTGAGACTCAAAGTGAGACTGAGACTCAAACTGAGACTCAGACTGAGACTGAGACTCAGACTGAGACTCAGGCTGAGACTCAGACTGAGACTCAGGCTGAGACTCAAAGTGAGACTCAAACTGAGACTCAGACTGAGACTCAGACTGAGACTCAGACTGAGACTCAGACTGAGACTCAGACTGAGACTCAAAGTGAGACTCAAAGTGAGACTCAAAGTGAGACTCAAAGTGAGACTCAAAGTGAGACTCAGACTGAGACTCAGACTGAGACTCAGACTGAGACTCAGACTGAGACTCAGACTGAGACTCAGACTGAGACTCAGACTGAGACTCAGACTGAGACTCAGACTGAGACTCAAAGTGAGACTCAAGTGAGACTCAAAGTGAGACTCAGACTGAGACTCAGACTGAGACTCAGACTGAGACTCAAACTGAGACTCTGAGACTCAAAGTGAGACTCAGAGTGAGACTCAAAGTGAGACTCAAAGTGAGACTCAAAGTGAGACTCAGAGTGAGACTCAAAGTGAGACTCAGACTGAGACTCAGACTGAGACTCAAAGTGAGACTCAAAGTGAGACTCAAAGTGAGACTCAAAGTGAGACTCAAAGTGAGACTCAAAGTGAGACTCAGACTGAGACTCAGACTGAGACTCAGACTGAATGTGAATGTTTTTTGTGTGAGATGTTCAGGTCTCATCGTTTTTATCTGTAAAAATCATATTGGGGTTTGTGTATCGGCCCCGGGCCCCGGGCCCCGGGCCCCGGCCCCTCCTCTGCCTCCGCCTCATAAAGACACATAATGAAAGATGGACAGATAGAGCGGAGGTCTGGACTCGCTCATTTCCTCTGTTTCAAATCTCTGCATCTGTATTAAAAGAGTTTGCAGTTTCACTTTTTATTTTTACTCCTCACTATTTTTATCCAAGACCGTAAGAAATAAGAGAGGAGAGGAAAGAGGAGAGGAAAGAGGAGAGGAAAGAGGAGAGGAAAGGAGAGAGAGGGAAAGGAGAGAGGAAAGGAGAGAAGAGAGGAAGAGAAGAGAGGAGAGGAAGAGAAAGAGGCAAAGGAGAGCAGAGGAGAAAAGAGAGATAAAGGAGAGGATAAGAAAGAGAGGTTGGTCCTTGTTTAGTCCTAGTTTAGTCGTTGTTTAGTCCTGGTTTAGTCCTGGTTTAGTCCTTGTTTAGTCCTGGTTCGGTCCTTGTTTAGTCCTGGTTCAGTCCTGGTTTAGTCCTTGTTTAGTCCTGGTTTAGTCCTTGTTTAGTGCTTGTTTAGTCCTGTTTTAGTCCTGGTTCAGTCCTTGCTTAGTCCTTGTTTAGTCCTGGTTTAGTCCTGGTTTAGTCCTGGTTCAGTCCTGGTTTAGTCCTTGTTTAGTCCTGGTTTAATCCTTGTTTAGTCCTGGTTCAGTCCTTGCTTAGTCCTTGTTTAGTCCTGGTTTAATCCTGGTTTAGTCCTGGTTTAGTCCTGGTTTAGTCCTGGTTTAGTCCTGGTTTAGTCCTTGTTTAGTCCTGTTTTAGTCCTGGTTCAGTCCTTGCTTAGTCCTTGTTTAGTCCTGGTTTAATCCTGGTTTAGTCCTGGTTTAGTCCTGGTTCAGTCCTGGTTTAGTCCTTGTTTAGTCCTGGTTTAATCCTTGTTTAGTCCTGGTTCAGTCCTGGTTTAGTCCTTGTTTAGTCCTGGTTTAGTCCTGTTTAGTCCTGGTTTAGTCCTGGTTCAGTCCTGGTTCAGTCTGGTTTAGTCCTTGTTTAGTCCTGGTTCAGTCCTGGTTTAGTCCTGGTTTAGTCCTGGTTCAGTCCTGGTTTAGTCCTGGTTTAGTCCTGGTTTAGTCCTGGTTCAGTCCTGGTTTAGTCCTTGTTTAGTCCTGGTTTAGTCCTGGTTTAGTCCTGGTTTCCTCCTCCTCTTCCTCTTCCTCTGTGACCTGATTAAAATGCACACGTGTCCCTCGTTTAGTTTCTTTATCGGTTTAATTATCGCTCTCTCTCTCTTCGTCGTTAAACGTGTCTTCATCTCTCGTTTCACGTGTCGCTCCTCTTCACTTTTACGAAGCTCAGACATTTTTCACGCAGATTTAAGACGCCTCCACTCACGACACGTTTCATTATTAATATTTTATAATTATTTTTTTTTGTCTTTGGTTCTTTCTGCCGTCTCTCCTCATTTCTCTTTTCTCCTGTCTTCTCCTCTCTCTCTCTCTCATCTCTCCTCCTCTCTTTTTCTCTCTCCTCCGCCGTTGTCTTTCTCTCTGTTCCCGGTTTGCGACGGATAATCTTTCTGATGATCCTTTATTTTGCTCTTTTGTCCCTAAATCAGTTCCTTCTCTGTTGCAAATTTAGTCCTGTGGATTTGATTTGATTTTTTGTATTGTTTTATTTTATTTTATATATTGTTTTATTTTAGTTAGATGTTTTATTTTATTTTGATGTTTTTTTTTTTTATTATTTTATTTTGTTTTATTTTGATGGTTTATTTTATTTTATATATTGTTGTTATTTTATTTTGATGGTTTATTTTATTTTGATGGTTTATTTTATTTTATATATTGTTTTATTTTATTTTGTTTAAGATTATATATCGTTTTATTTTATTTTATTTTGTTTTATATTATATTTTGTTTTATTTTATTTTATTTTTTTATGTTTTACTTTTATTTTATTTTGATTTTATTTTATTTTATATATTGTTTTATTTTATATTATATATTGTTTTATTTTATTTTGTTTTATTTTATATTATATATTGTTTATTTTATTTTGTTTTATATTATTTATTTTATTTTTATTTTTATGTTTTATTTTATTTGTTTTATTTTATATTATATTTAGTTTTGTTTTATTTTATTTTGTTTTATTTATATTATATATTGTTTTATTTTATTTTATATATTGTTTTTTTTTTTCTTTTTCCCTTCTAGTTTATTTCCTCACTTGACCTCTCACCTCCTTTTCTCGTTATTAATGTTTTGGACGTATAATCTTGAATTTAGAAATGTTAAAATGTATGTATGCTTTAAATAAATAAATAAATAAATAAATAAAAATAATAATGTGATATATTGTACATCAGGAGTATCAAACTCAAATTCACATTGGGCCAAAATTAAAAACTGGGACTAATCATGGGCCAAACTAAATATTTATTGAGAAATTTTAATGTTTTCTCTTCTTTCCAGATATGTAATGTTAAAGCTTTTCTTATTCAAATAAATGTTTAATAACAGTTTTGCTTAAACACTGAATCCAGAACAAGTGGAATGTAAAATAATAACACAATATAAAATAAATGAACAAACATTAGACATAAGACACATCGTTTACTGTCGGGTGGATTGTGGAGGTTCACACTTGAAGGACACTGTACACATCAGCTTTGTCCGTGACCACAGAGTGCGACACAGAGGGGGAGGGGCTAGGAAAGGATCCAAGGGAAGGACACGAGGAGAGGAGGTGCTCATTATAGATCCAATATTACATAACTCTTGTGAGCTTTAAGACCAATTTATAATGTAGTTCCCTCCTCCTTTTTCAATATAAAAGTGACTTCTGTGACTGCGATGCCGGAGTTCAGCACTGCATACGGACTGAACCAGGACTGATCCAAGTCCGGGACCAGAGCGGGACCAGAGCAGACTTCGAGCTTTGATTCCGGAGCCTCGGGGTCAGTTTCGAGCTCCGACCCTGCCGTGGGCTCTGAGCTTCCGGCCTGGTCTCAGTCTCGGTCTGGTCCCGGTCTCAGTTCTGATCTCAGTCTCGGTCTGGTCCCGGTCTGGTCTCGGTCTCAGTCCCGCTCCGAGTACCCGCCTACCGTCGAGCAAATCCTAATGCAGGCTGATGAATCAGGCTATAAAACTGTAGCCGGTTTCACTTCGTACAAACCGTGTGACCTCGCAGCGTTAGGATTCGTTCACTCGACGGTAGGCGGGTACTTTTTTTATTTAACCAGTCGCTGCTATTTGGTCGTGACGTTTGTAATGCACCAAATCCTGTAGGAAAAAGAACAATAACGTCTTTCCCCTTGATAAAATTCACCAAACATTCTCTTTGTTCCGACTTTAAATCCTGGGGAATCGTTGCCAACACAGAATGTCTGTCGGGCTGATGTGGCTCTAGAGTCGTTACGGTTTATATGTCGTAAAGTTGAATTTATTTATGCAGATTAGTAGTGCAGATAGTAATAATAATAATGATCATTTTAATATAAAAACGTTAATGATTAATCGATAATCCTTCCGATGATTGATTAAGAAAATTTCATCGAATGCCCATCCCTAGTCTGAACGGAGGTTTGCAGTCACACACATCTGATTCACTTTTGTATTTATGAAGTTCGCAAACAAATTTCTCGAGCCGTTTTCCGCTGTTTGGATCCAACAACCACATAATTAACGACGTCCGAATCCCAAAACTAAAATATGACAATATCAGAACCAGAAACAAAAGCGACATGGTTCAAAAGACTTGAAAAGATCGACTTTGACAATAGACGCATCCCACTGGGAAAACAAACATGGAGGTTTGACGCTCACTTTTTCCGGACAATCCTTCCCAGTGTGGATTGCGCGACGACCGGAAGTCCGAGATTCAGGATGCGTGTGTTCATATACGAGTCCTGTAGTTTCAGACGTGCTCCAACACTTCCTCTGTGAATGAATGAAGCCGAACGACGCTTTAAAACTACTAACATTTTTACAGTGTAGGAGAAAAGAGAGGACGGAGGG